ATACTTCAGACACTAAATAGCAACTTCTAGATATTGCCCAGCAATTACCAATATAATAATAATAATAATAATAATGTAATAATAACAATGATGTAATAATAATAATAATAATAATAATAATAATTATTATTATTATTATTATTGTTATTACTACCATTATTTCATCAGAAGTAAAAACATAATCATCACCGTCATTGTCATTCATTTGTGTTTTCAACATTCTTTATATAAAATCGTCATTATCACAATTATTGCGCACCATCACCACCGTTGTCAGCATCGCCTTCATCATAATCATCATCATCAATATAACCATAATAATCATTGCTAACACCACCACCACCGCGTCATCATCGTAATGTCATTCATCATTATTATCATCATCAATAGCATCGCCATCATCATCATCACCATTAATTCCCCGTGTGTCGTTGCATTTTTATCTTGTATATTCATTTGACAGTAGTGAGTAAAATATTAATATTATCGATGGGTACCTTAAAATCGATTCTGTCGATTAATTATGAATGTTCACGAGGACGACATGAAATTGGTCATTCATGTCATATGTAATATACACTAATAAATGTATATTTATATATATATTTTTTTTTTATCAAACTTGTCGAATATATCAATCAGGCTTAGTGTGTAGTGGGTTTTTTTTTTTCTTCTGTGTCGATATATTTTCTGCCGGCGGATTATTCATACAGGCATGCGTAGGTTCATTACTGAAACATTTCTAAAGGTTAATAGCAATGATGTAAATTTGTTAAACAAAATGGATATCATTATTGTGTATTCGGAGTTTATGATTGCATATCAAGTTGATCTAAAAATGGTTCTAGTGGTAGGCTACGAGTACAACGCGCAACCTCTGTATTTACAGACTTTATTCCCGTGAATTGAAGTTCCTTAACGGCGACAATTAGCTGGAGGTTAGGAGATTTCTGGTTCTAGAGGGTAAAGCCGACCTCCTTAAGTACGGTACGCGTACGCCAAACGTTGAAGGACAGCAGTTATTTATGAGGGGTAAAAGTCGAATGATAGGAATGTTTCCAGACCAGATTAAGACGTACAGTGTCATCGCTGAGAAAACTTGCTAACCACCTTAAATAGACTCTAACGAGCATCAGCTTAGCAAAGTAAATCGCATTGGTAGTGAATTACCTGAATTCTTAGTAGGCTCATCAGAGTAAGCAAAAATTACACCTCGAATGGGGAGGCAAAAAATTGCAACAATTTATGAACTAATAATTATTAGGAATCCACGAATCATTTTTTTTTCAGGTGTTTAAAAATAACTCAGCTCTCCCAATGTAGGCCTATGTATTCAAATTCATTATTTTCATAAATCCGCTTCACTGTTCTTTAGCCCTTGTTGGAGCTTTTTTTTTCAGTTTTGCCGCATTTGTTTTGTTGAGTTCGGCCAGAATACGATTCCCTCTTTTGCATATGTTAACCCGGATAAATATGAATTTTTGTCACTGAGTGATGAATTATATGGAATACAAATATATGCTTACATAGAATGCTAGTATGATATGTCTATGTGACGCACGATAATGATACTATGTATTTTTATTGTAAACTTTGGCCTATTATGTTTTTCAACTGGAATATTCAAATCACTTTAATTGGCCTATATCTTTTGGTTGTGTTCAGATAAACCTACACTATACTACAGTGGCGGATTCAAGGCGGTGTGGGGGGGGGCACCTCTTTCTCCTATTTTTTTTTTAATTACCCAACAAAATGGAGAAGAGAGGAAACATTTAAACGTAGGTCTGAGAGTACTATTTGCGGCCATCTAGAAGTGCCATAATCATAAATTTTCGAAGCTCAGCCCCACCATGGTTGGTCAATGTAGGCCTACTATGAGGCCAATGTACTATGCGTATAAACCTATATCATTGTTCTTCAGATCTATTCTTTTATATACAGTACGGGTAAAAAAACAACTTCGTTTTCCATTTATGTCTGTTAAATCATCTTAATTAAAAACTTTACATATACTGTTCACACTGTTCATGAATAATACATAAGCAATATTAAAATTCATATTTTATGAATAACATGCGGTAATTATGGTCCATAAAAAAACACACAATCAACCGGGAAGGCATTTACAGTATACTTTTAAGAATACGAAAATAGTAGATTATTAATAAATGGTATAGCCCTGAGGCATTTGTACGAAATGTCGGATGTAACTAAAATAATACACACTAAATTGTAGTCGATAATGCCAGCGGTCTAATCTGTATGATGACAGCGTATGGAGAGGAGTTGTGGTTTTCTGGTCGGATACCCGTCCTCTAGATCCTACCATCAGGAGTTCAATCATTGCTTTAGTTTCAGGGTTGCTTTTCGCAACAAGTCTCGTTAAGACATTATTTTTGTTATAGAATCAAGTGTCTAAATGATCGGGCTGTTCCTTCTCTAGGCCTTATTATTAAGTAGTTGTTATATATGGAGGACGGCCCTGGATAATCCACTATTTTCACCCTAAGATTCATTAACAGACGCGTGTTGCATCGAAGGTCCGAACTTTTCAGTCACTCACCAAGTATCATATAGACTTGGTTAAAGAACATAAAGGGTTCTAAATGACCAGCTCTCCAGTCTTCAAATCTTATAAAGATACTTGGTCATCACTCTTTCCAAAATGATCAGCCCTGAACTCCCCAAGTCTTTTGGTTATCAAAAATACCAAGGATATCAAGGGAATCAATTAGTACCAATAGTATCAGGGTATCAAGGTTATCAAGGGTAGCAATGGTATCAAGGGTACCAACGTTATCGAGGGTACCAATGGTATCAATATTACCAAGGGTATCAAGGGTACCAAGGTTATCAAGAGTACCAAGGGTATTAAGGGTACCAAGGTTATCAAGGTTACCAAGGTTATCAAGGGTACAAAGGTATCAAGAGTACCAAGGGTATCAATAGTAAGAATGGTATCAAGGTTACTAGGATATCAAAGGTACCAATGGTATCAAGGTTACCAAGGGTATCAAGGGTAGGCCTACCAATGTTATCAAGGATAACAAGGTTATCAAGAGTAGGCCTACCAGGTTATGGTATCAAGGGTATCGATGATACCAATGGTATCAAGGGTACCAAGGGTATCAAGAGTAGTTTGTGAATATTTACCAGCGTGTGCTATGGTTACATACATGTTTTGATATGTTTAATGAATATAGAATGCAAATTGATGATGTTCTTATGTATGGCGGGAAGTATTCGCGGTAGATTTAAAAAAAATCATATAATACTCATACAATAAAAGCAAACTTCAGATGAAAGTCTTTGTTTCATTCAAAAGCATCTGCTATTTTATCGCTACTCAACAACTGATAAATAATAATGTAAACGTTCAAACAGAAATATTTACAAACCAGTACCATACTAAAAATTAATGTCACTAAATTAACGCTAAATACACACTGCAATAAATTATTCAAACTAAGAAGAATATCCACAATATTGTTATTGTATTATAAAGTAAGCTGTCTCGTAATTTCACACTAGTAGTGACGTCAGAAGTCAAGAAATAAACAACCACACAGAATGGGTCAATACTACTAGTCCATATTACACTATGAGCGTTATTACTATTTGTTGCGAGTTACGATATAAAATAGGGCTATGCATATTAGCCAAATAATTCAACCGTTTTACAAACTTACGCATCGCAGGTAGTAACTAATAATGGAATACGCACGTGAGTCTTAAGAGAAAGCTCTAATGCGTTTCTATTTAAGCTAGCCTAAGCCCGTTTTTATCACGTGAGAGTCCAAGAACGGGGGCTACTAAACGAAATTTGAACTAGAACATTTGTGGCTTGACTTAATATGAAATGTTGAGATGTAAAATCGTTACCTCCTTTTGGCCTTTAGATAATTCGTCAAATATTGGTTATAATAATTAAGTAAATTAGCTAATCTAGTTTTTCATGGACAGGCCACGAATTGGTCGGGTTTGTGTATAATTACTTCAATTTTCGCACTTCCTTCCCACGCCGAAACCAGCCTACGCCTCTAATGCTACTTTCACATTGGATCCGAACCGAAGAATTCCGATGCGCCAAACGCCAGAGTCCCTATTCATACACACACTGACTCGATTTTCAGATCGGTTCGGTAGTCTGTTCGATTCGAAAATTCAAATTCGGTGTGTGAATGCGCCATAAATGTGGCGATGTAACGTTTACGTTATGACGATTTACAAAACTCATTTTAATAAGTGAATAGTTATGATGACGTGCGCACGCGGGACTGCGCCACTTGGTTACTTACGTACGTATGCAATACGAATTCACCCGAAAATGCCACTCACAGCCACTGACAGTTAATATACAATTAAAAATACATCGTCATTCGGTAACTAAATATTTTAGGACAGCATTATTCTGAGTACAGTAATGATATACTGTAGATAGTAAAATTAGCGCATTTTGTTACGGTTAATTTATTTGTGCGCAGACAAGTACGAATTAATTCTGGTGTGATTTACGCGCCAGATCGCCTTGAGAAGGCTAACGAGCGAAATGCGTGACAATTGTACAACCTAACAATAACGCTCACAAATAATATACGTAAATCTAAATGTATTTGACAATTCGCAGTGTTACTGAGACTAAGTACTAATTCGACTCGATAAAATACCGCAAGTGTTATGGTTATAAATGGACATATATTTTATACTTATTTACAATAGATTCATAATATACACTGTTGTGCAGGTATAATATCTTTAGACAATTATTGATATGTATAATTTTATAACCCTTTACTCTTTACTTTACCATTATATTAATATTATATATACATATATATGAATTTACCGTATTTATAGGGCATATATATATATATATATTTTTGAGTACATATACATATATATATATATATGTATGTATACATATATATATACATATACACACATATATATATATATACCTATACACATACATACACACACATACATACATACATACATATATATATATATATATATATATATATATATATGTATGTATGTATACACTATATATAGGCCTATTATGTCTAAGAACAATAAGTTGATTGCAATTACACGTATTTCTTTTGAACATATACATTTAAACTATAAATAAGCCTATTATATCTAAAGAACAATCATTTAATTGCCAATACACGTATTTCTTGCGTGTCCTGTGTGCAATGCTGAGTGCTATCGATTCACGACTGACACGCAGTGATCACACGCACTTGTGCGTGTCTTCGCGTGTCTTCTTGTCGTTACTTGAAAATGCGGTGAATCGATACTCCGATTCAATATCAACGCTCGTGGGGCCGGAAACCAGTTGCAAAGTTTTGTACGTTTGGGTCAGGGTTCAAGGTAGCCTTACTCATCGAACATGAGCTATATAACATTCCGTTGATTTCCGTAGACTATCGACTGAAACCTACGCTGGGAAATATAACAAAAACGCTGATAGGCATACACGTCTTCTCGCGCGTGTGATGTCAATGCTCCACCGCTCGTGTGAGATAAATGAAAATACGATTAACAATAGAATGGAGCGGAGTACAGATATGTAGATTGGGCGAAATTACCAAATACAAAGTGTGGAATTTTTATGCATACAAATGCTCATTATAGCACCTATCATGACAATGTGTTTAGAAATAACATTGATTTCACAGATACAAACAATCAATAGGCATAGTTGTGTTTAACACTTCGAGCATGCATGCCTCAAGAAGTGTCGTCGTGTCCGTCACGTGGGTAGGACAGTGATTAATAATAGGCCTCTCCGCTAAGCTCCGCCCCTAAGATTCCCAACAAAACATAATAATGTACTGTACGTAAACACGTGCGTTTGTGAGACATGCGTGTTTAACGGACATACGCGTCTCCCTGGACTTGTTCTGATTGGTCAGTTATTAAGTTTGATTGACACCCTAGGATGGTCCATTGTAGTTCTGCACGAGTGTGCTTTACTCCCGGCTTTACTTATTGCTCGTGGTCATTGATTCCATTGGTTGGTGACTTCTGGGTGAGGAACCAACACTGCATTGGCTCAGACTTCCCCTTCATTTTCACCCCTCCTCGATACTCGAATTCAAAGCTTGGATCGAACGATTCAGGAGAGATCAGATGGCTGAAAATACAATGAGAAAATGAATTAAGAGCGCGCCCTCATATATACAGATTACTTAAAATCTTATGTAGCCGTTTGCCCTACAACTGTCGCGCGATGGATAATTAATATGTTTATTTATGTCCCATACTATATAGGTCTTTATGCGCCTGGAATTAATGTATGTTTGTATACCATTAGACATAAACAACTATAGTCAGTTACCGTATGTAGGGCCTATTTGTATTCATAAATCTATACAGGTTATTATTATCATTGAACTAAATAACAATAAATAATATTGAGCCTATTAATTTTGTTTTGGTAAAACATGTCGGACTAGATGCATGCATTCTTTTAGTTTCAATTACATGTACTATAATTAACATCAAGTAAATCGTTTGAGAAAAGGTTAATCAAAATTACTTTTTTATACAAAGGTTCTTATCTGAACAACCTGACCTAATTAATTGATTAATTACATTAGAAAAAAGTGTTTGCTATTTTTGAAAAATTAAATTTGGCTTATTATTACTATAATTGTTGCTACTGTTGCTGCTGTTGTCATAATTATATTCAGTGTTAGTTTTTAATGTCATCGGGGACGGATCAGGGAGCCTTTTTAAAAAATGTAGAAGACAACGCAGAGACCGATTGATTCCACTTTAGCAATGTAACGGTTTTATGGAAACAAATCTTTGAAGGGAGTTAGTAAAACAGCACAATAGATTATTATATCACAATAGTATGCATACTTATTATACACAGTTCTGCATAATAAACTACTTTGCATTTTCAATATGTTTTCATTGTCGCTAGTACATTGATAATCACAATTTTATGATGGTTGGTTCGTATATTCGTATAATTGGCTTTTCAGGCGTTTGTATATCAGGTTTCTTGATTTAAATTTGGTAACGCATTTCATATTTTATCGAAACGTGCTGTAGGACACGTAAAATGGCATGACATACAAATTAGCACAGTGAGAAAGTAATTGTTAGCGTTGTCTATACCGACAAATTGTGTCAGATATTTATTGAGTGATTTACACTTTGACGCTGCGCGTGTCAATGTGTGATGTACACAGATGCGTGTTTATGGCAGTTTATGGCGCGCATGTTCGTATAGGGTCCACGATGCTTCCACCATTAGGTCAGCATACGCGATCAGGAGTCGCAAAAGAAGTCATAGTTTGATATTGGGTCACAGAAAGGTCATGGCTAACACGGTATGCATTGCTGACGCAGTGTGCCCCATTCTTAACGCAGTGTGCCTGAGGCTTAACGCAAATTACACATCGATTATGATGAAGCGTGGATATAATATCTGTGAGCAACTGCGTGACGAAAAGTTGGGTGAATGGACGGAGAGTGATGTCATAATTTTGTAGATCACCTGATAATATAGATTGTTGGGATAACCTGGGCATCGCTGAAGGGGGAGATCTCTGATATTCTGTAGATTGTTACGATAATGTGGGGAGGCTGTAAAGGGAGGTGGATCAACTTACTTGTAGGCTGGTTCGGAAACGTTTATTTTTCCCTTCACACCCGTGGTTTCCGTCCTGCTTGTGAGGTTCACCGTGTTGCCGAAAAGACAGTATCGCGGCATCTTGTGGCCTATCACACCTGTCACTACTTCTCCGCTATGGATACCAATCGTTATCTAAAAGAAAATCACGATAAAGGTAACAAGATATAATCTATACAAACTTACTCCCACGTACGTTACACTTGAATGTGTGTACGCACGTGAAGGTGGCTTTCACAAAAACCATTCTACTATGATCATTTCGTCGCTCACATCACGAACTAACACAATGTGAAATCAAAAAAGCGCGTCAAAATACGCGCTGCTGTCGTTAAGGACTTTTTGTGTGATAAAGAATACAAAATTGCTTGACAACAAATACGCGCTCGTTTTGACGCGCTACTGTGATTTCACGAATTTTGACCGATTTGCAAAGTTACAACATGTAAAATACTTTATTTCATTAAAGTGCATCCTCCAATTCGCGACCCTTTTAATTTGGATAGACTAACATAACGATCTTCAATCTTTTAACACAAAGCTAACCCTTTAATCGGACACCAACTTCCGAGACCTTTACCCCAAATGTTCAGGTCCAAAAGGTGGTCTTGAATTATATTTCGTTTAATTTATTTCGTTCGTTATCAAGAAACATGAACAAGTGCACATATAAGATTCAACAAAAAATAACAATACAAGTACAAAAAGGTAACTGGTGGGTTACAAGAAAGAGAAACAAATCACTGTCGAGTGGTTCTTCGAGGATAAAAGGGATACTTTAAAGATTATATAGCAATTATATTCAAATATACTGTTACTCTGTACAATTTATACAATGACGAGTAAAAGACTTTTGAGCAATTCAGTCCAGCACGGTTGGTTTTGTCGGTTATGTAAACAAATGCATTGCCTAAAATCCTGTAATTTTTACTCTGTAATCATAAACTTATTTAGGTTCGTCACAAATAAATGTATTCTTTTTTTTTTTACTTTATTTATTTTTTATTTAATCATTTATCATTTTGAAAGGCTGGGATTGGAAGGCAGCATCTTAACCCCTAAGCTATTCAACTCTACTCCATTCCATTTCCTAGGTAGAAGGTTGATTAAACATGGAAGCTAAAACAGTTAGTTTGGAATTAGTCATGAGTAAATTTAAATGGCCAAAACACGGCATGTAGCCTAAAAGACTTTAAAATATTATCACGGCGGCGGCCAGCAACAGCTTAAACAACCGTATTGTACTATTAACTCAGTGAGAATTCGCTGCCCCATGCTTCGTGTTTAACAGTTGTCCTACCATTCAAATCAAAATTAAAATTCAGGTTTAATTCATGTTGGCATAAGGCAAACCATATGGCAAACATTTATAAACTTGGAATTTTGGAAAAAGTATATCAAAGAAAATAAAAATTATATAATAGGCGTATTATACTACAATAATTAAACTAATACTGATAAAAATATATAAAAAGGTAGTATCGGATATTGAAAAAAAAAACCCCGATGTATTGTAAATTAATTTGACCAACTTTGTTCAATCGCAAAATGGTAAGAAATGATATGATAAGGCCAGATTTTGTTTGCAGAAAATAAACAGTGTGCAGGTCTCCAATCCAGGTCTTCCAATTAAAGACCACCACTGGATTAAAGGCCAATTTTCTGTGATCTCAATTTAACAAATGTCTTATTTTTATTCGTTCTAATTAGAGAGAGGGCCGTAACTAAGAGAATTGAAGTAGTCAGGTTGCAAGTGAAGCGAGCACTGAGGCTGGGAGGCCCCCGGTCGGGGTTCAAGGGCCGGAGGCCCCAGGAAAAAATTTGCTATTTTTCCATTGTATACACCCTCTGTTTCAAGAGAAAAGTTGCTCACAGTATTGTTATTTTAGTATTTTGCTTTTTGACATTGACAAAAATCAAGACCTATGAATGAAAAATCATATTACAATGCCGTAGCCAGGATTTTCAAACAGTGCGAGACAATATCAGGGTGGACCCACTTTACGCGTAAGTTCATTTGGATCCATTTTCTTAAAAGTTGACCCATTTTACGTAACAATATGAAAAGGCTGGACCCATTTTCTTAAAAGTTTACCCATTCTAGGCTATATATGAGAAATATGGACCAATTTTCAAAAGTGGACTCAATAATGCATAAAATTTGGACCCATTTTTAAAAATGTGGACCATTTGAAAAAATGTGTGGGACTGTCCCAACTGTTCCAATAGCTGGCTACGGTAATGGCTATGGTACATTTTAATCAATACATGCAGGCGCGGATCTAGACCAATGCACCGTTCGGCGTTCGACATGGCGAAGTTCAGGGTGAGAGACAAAATGATATTTTAAAAATATTGCTATTGCTATTGCAGAGCCTGGTGGTCAATCAAGTTGGTTTTGGTTGGAGTACAATTGTAGAAAGAATTGCATTATTCTGCTTCCTTTAAGCATAAGTGACCGAGTTGTTATCATTATATAAATTTTAAACTGTAGTATTATTAACTAAGACCAATCAACACATAACATAAAACATGTACATATCAAAATTATTATGTTTGTACTTTCTTCTTCATGTCATGCATAAAACGTAATGTTTTTGAAATTGGATCCAACATGTGTATAATGATATTGATAAACAATCGAAATTCTCTGTACTATATTATGCTAAACATTTACAGAGTGGACTTCCTGCGGTTGTGGCGATATTTAGACTGTAATATTATTATTAAAGAGGTCCATTCAACAAACAACATAAACATATACATATCAAAGTTATTAGGTCAAAGTTCTCACGTCGTTGCATGCATAACGTAATTTTCTAAAATTTGGATATCTGAAATGGACACTGGTCAATCAAAATTCTCAGTACAATCTATACTAATTTAACGACTGAACTTCCTTATGATTTAAGAAAATATAAATGTATATTGAGCTACGCAAAGTTTAGAAGTTTAAAAGTTAAAAGAGAGTACTTCCTTATGTTGTGGTCATATTCGACTGTAATATCACTAAAGACCATTCAACAAACAACCTTTCTTATAATTTCAGGAAATATAAATGTATATATTGAGCTGCGCAAATTTTTGAAGTTCGAAGAGCGGACTTCCTTATGTTGTTTTCAAATTAGACTGTAATATCATTAAAGACCATTCAACAAACAACATAAAAAAATACCTTATGCAAAAAATTAAACTCTTTAATCTGGTTTCTGTGGTAAACAATGTTCCTTTTGTGTTAAACCAGGAAATAACCTAGAAACCTACATGGTTGGACAAAGAAAATATTATTCTCAAGGTTCTGTGGTATAGTCCTCAAGTCCTCGTGTTATACAACTTGAGGATATATTTAGTTTTTAAGTTTTTCTACTTTAACACATAAGGTAAAAATATATAAACATAAGTGTATTCTATTTAGAACTTAAAGTTTCACCTTTCACCCAAATGTTACTGAGTTTGTTTTCTCCTGCGCCTTTGATAAATTTTTGAATTGGCGCTATATAAATGTTTATTATTAGGCCTATTATTATTATTATTTAATCAATTTAAGACTACTGAAGTAAGTTTGGCGTTTCATGTACATTAATGTACTTATGTTAGTGGATAAAATATTTACAACACAATTCGTTAGAAAGGGGGGAGGGGTGGGGTAATGTTCTATGAAATTTATACTGATTATTAGAGTATAAACTCGATTAAAGACTTACCTATTCCTATTGTTGGATCTTTCGGTGCACCAGCCCACTTCCGATTCCGTCGGGGACATCCACGCTCCAAGATGCCCTCCCCCTGGTATTGGACATTGGTCTCTCTGTCGAGTAAATCCTGGCGCTACCATGGATGTTTTAATGAAACAAAATGTTTTTGTTTTGATTTACTTTAAAAGTGATAAATGAATACTCTACATACAGTATAGGCCTACAATATAGGCTGTCTCTTATACACATCTAGATGTGTATAAGAGACAGGTATAATGCTAAACATTTACAGAATGGACTTCCTGCGGTTGTGGCGATATTATACTGTAATATTATTATTAAAGAGGTCCATTCAACAAACAACATAAACATATACATATCAAAGTTATTAGGTCAAAGTTCTCACGTCGTTGCATGCATAACGTAATTTTCTAAAATTTAGATATCTGAAATGGACACTGGTCAATCAAAATTCTCAGTACTATCTATACTAATTTAACGACTGAACTTCCTTATGATTTAAGAAAATATAAATGTATATTGAGCTACGCAAAGTTTAGAAGTTTAAAAGTTAAAAGAGAGTACTTCCTTATGTTGTGGTCATATTCGACTGTAATATCACTAAAGACCATTCAACAAACAACCTTTCTTATAATTTCAGGAAATAGAAATGTATATATTGAGCTGCGCACATTTTTGAAGTTCAAAGACTGGACTTCCTTATGTTGTTTTCAAATTAGACTGTAATATCATTAAAGACCATTCAACAAACAACATAAAACATATCAAAATTATTAGGTTAAACTTTCCACTTCGGTGGACGTAATCATATAACTATTGTCCGACTGTGTGTATTGAACATTTGACGACGACGATAATGTCGTCAAATTCCCAAACATAACTTAGGCTACGGGCCTCTCTTGACACTTCACATAAAACGGCCTGTTAATTAATCTTTCACAGGAACCTGTCATCACCTAGCTTCCTCCTCCTCCTCCTCTTCTTCCTTATCATCATCTTCTTCATCATCATAATTATTATATTGTCCATAGTAAAGTAGGGAAAAGCTATGAATTTAGAGTGTATTCAATAATAGACGTCTCATAATGTACGAAATGCATTTCAAAGCATCTAGAAAACAAAACTTTTCGAAGGAGGAGCCAAAGATCTCCCACCCCACTAGAATTTGTCTTCCAGCGACAGAACAAGCTAGCTCTCTTCTCATGACCCCGCCCACCCTGAGAAACCATCTGTGCGATAGTCAGGGTGAACTCTGGATCCGCGCTTGACATAATTATTTAAGAGAATTGCTTAAAAATGGTATATTTACAGTATAATTATTTATAAAAAATAATGTTGCATTCTAGAACTATCAGGAATAAATATAAAGATAAAGGCATGTTTTTTTTTTCTTGTTAGTTGACTGGGAAATTTAGTGAA